CATAAGTTGTTACAATCATGTGTATATGTATGCCTTATTGTTCCTTTAAGGCTTCCTTCACTTTTCGATAAGTTATTTACCCAGGTAAATGCACTTACCCGGGTAAATGTTTCATATAAAAGACTTGCCCGACTAAATGTTTTTATCCATGTTCTTTTATTTCCCATGTAGATAAGGCAATGCCATTTTAGCTATAAAAATCTATTATTAAAAAGGGTATTTTTGTCCTATTCAAGTGATACCAAGAAAATAAACTTTCCATAATCCCCACATAAATATGATAAAAGAGCATGAGTTTTTTGGTTGATGGGAATCAAAATCATGTTGACCAACTTTTCCCCTCTCAAAATCTGAAAAAATAACACCTGCTAATAGTTTTGTATATATGTGAAAATTTTCTAGTAACTGATGAGTTTATGCAACTCTTACGGACTTCACCTTGTAAATTTGGTGGGGCCCATGAAAAAAACAAACTAGAATATGAAGTTAAACATGAGTTTTCATGGATCCATCAATGTCCATGGGGTGATGAGATGCAAAATTCATTGGCTATCATTTGTCCTATATCTTTGCCACTTCTTATATCTCTTTCTTCTCAACCTTGAATAAACATTTTATTTCCCTTCAAACCTAAGGTTGTGTTTTGATCAGTGCAGACTAGGAATTAAAAAATAGACATGGGTGTGGGAGGGCAAGGCAAGGCAAGGTGCATGTAATGTCTACTTTGGAAAGCTTGTTGTTATGTAGGTTTAATCATGTGCTTGCGGTTTTGGAAGGATGCCAGGTGACAATCTCAACTACTGGGTTATCAACGTATGGAATTGAGAAGTATTTACTATTTAGATGACTATTAAGTGTGCACGTGCTTTGCACGTAGTAATTCTAGATGGCGATAATGATAGTAATAATGTATCTAACATTTTCTATAATATTTATGTATTTTTAATTTTTTGTTTTTATTATTAATCAAATGCAGATTGCAAATCCAAATCTAATTATGTAAGCACCTCATCCAAATATATGATAATCAGATCAAGTTGTGATGTTTCAAGTATCATTGATAGGCCTACTCGCTTTGATAGGTTATTATTTTTGTAATATTTAATCTTTTTGGTGTACATTTTTTGTTCATTTATAAAAAAAAATATAAGATTTAAATAGAGGGAATTAAATATGATGAAAAGTAATAGTTTAATTTACAATTTAAACTTCATAATTAAATAGGGATTAAATTAAAAAATGAGCATTTTAGTTAAAAGAAAGTTCTACAATCTTATTCATATTTTTAATTGTAGTGCAAATATAGAAATATAGATGTGCTCAATTTTTTCCATAACTTTTTTGTATTTTTGTGTGTAAAAATAATTCTAATATGGCACACTTACTTTTTGTTTAATATGATAAATATATGATATTAGACATGTGCCTAAATGTTTTTTTGTTTGCAAAATTTATGTATTTTTTCCATCTTTTCTTTTTTATATTTTATTAACTTATTATTATTTATTTATAACATTAAAGGTTAACATATTTGACCCAAAACTTTAAATATTGATTTTTGTCAAACAGTAAAATAATTTCATTTTTGGTTTTTTCTAAATTATGTATTTCATTTTCATTACCAATAAAAATAATTATTATTCATTACACTTTTTAATTTTATTAGTAAAATATCGTGGACTTGTCTAATTTTTTCTACATTTTTTATAAGTTTCTATATTTATTTATATTTTAAAAATTTATTACCTAACTATGACTTCTTAGGTTGATCAATTTGATTTGGATGGTTGAATTGCTTAGCTACCACTTGGATTAAAAATGATTTTGTTTTTGAGTCAGTCTTAAAATCTACGGGTTTATATTGTTCAAAATATTGACAGAAATCTAATTTAATAAGAAAAAATGGGAGTTAATAATTTAAATATAAGAATTATGAGAGGGGATTAAATGAGGTGGGACGTAATAATTGAAGTTACACTTTCAACTTTACCATTAGAGATGAACTAAATACACAATTACGGGCATTTTAGTAGCCATTAAAGATGACATTAAAGCTATAATAAAATATATTTTATACCCTTTCTCAAACAAAGAAGTAGAGGGTAATTTTAGTCTAAAAAATGTTTCACATTGCATTCACACTTTTAACCCAAAAGTTCACTTCAGAAGGAAGGACACCTAAAATAAGATTTTATTAATCACAATCAAAGGATGGAAGTAGCCTTCATTGCCCTAGGCCATACAAAATCTACTCAAAGTGCTTTTAATTTGGAAGTAGTAGATGGAATTTCTTTCCAAGAGTGCTCTCTAAATAAAACAATACTATTTTTCAATATTAATCATTTTTATGAATCTTCTTAATCTTATTTATTTATTATTTTTAAATATTTTATAATTTCTCAATATTTATCTTTTTTATGATTTTACAAATTTTTATATATATCGTTAATATTATAATCATTTCCATTATAATTTGAGGTAGGGATGTTCATGGGTCGAGTTGGGTCGATTTATTGGGGTTTTCCCAACTGACCCGACCTGGTCGGGTTACTTGAGATGGAAACCGAAACCGACCCAGTGTTAAGCAAAACTGACCTGGTCGGTTTGAGTCAGGTTGGGTTGGTTTGGGTCAGTTTCGGTTTTGCTCCTGTACAAAAAGGACATAGAAGCCTAGAAGGAAATATCTATTCTGAAAACTGAAAACTGAAGTTTTTAAGATATTTTATGGAAATATATTTAAAACTGAAATATGTATTTTAGAAATATATATATATATATATATATA